ACTGTATATCAATCAAATTTGAAGATAAAAAGATTATAGGGATTCAGAAATCCAAATTTTTACACAGAGGAGCGCACACTTCAATCACTTGTCTTGTATTTGCAAGTCCATCTTACTTACAAAAAATATATTTTTGATACAGTCTATAATTCAACTATGACAAATGATTTGGCCCAATTTTTTTTAGCAGCATTATATTAAGGCCTTCAACCTGAACTCTCACACAGCTGGAACCATGATGATGTATAGCTAAGTGCTACAGTTGCCTATTCCATAGGAAACACAAACAGGTTATCTCAAATCTCAACCTCTATATGATCATCACAGTACTACAATTACTACAATAATTACAATGACTGATAAATTTGTTTCTCCCCCCACAAAAACAATAGCAGTGCCCAAATCATAAAACTTCATAATCATCCATGCCAAACTACTGAAAAAAAAATTAATGGAAACTGTGTGTTCTAAGATATAATGGTTAGATAAACAGTGTGTGTGATATTGTGGGCTGGATTCATGTGATTCAGAACAGGTAAAACTGTAGCGCAAACTTGAAAACCTTTGGGTTCCATAAAATGCAAGGGATTTCTTGAGTAGGTGAGAAAATAGTTTCTAAAGCATGGGCACTGCTCTATGCAGTTCACAACACAGCAGTAGATTTCAGGAAACCTCAAAATTCAATCTTCTAAAATAAATACTTATAAAAATGAGCAGAAAATCTTGAAAATTGCATGTTAATGCACATTCAGAAGCTCAACTCCTTCCTTTATCAATCACTGTTTCTCTTATAATTAAGAATCCTAGTTTGTAAACACTGTACAGTTCGGAATCCTTTGTCTTCCTGTCTGCTATCTAAAAATGTAAAGATTACAATACATAACCTGCAATTCCGTTGTGGTTTTGTATTAGTGTGGAACATGGTCTCTGACATTAACGGAAAAACACAAGTAAAAGTATCTGACAACAAGGTACTTAGATTCTAGATGGAAGGAAAATGAATCTTTGGAAAACAGTATTGGAGGGTGTGGATTGCATTCATATGGCTTGGGATACATACTTCTGCAGGCTGCTTATGAACACGGTGAAGAGCCTTCAGGATGCATAGAAGGCAGGAAATCTCTTAACTAGCCAAGCATATTGTTAGCTTCTCATGAACTATGTTACATGGAGTGAGTTAATTTGTGAACAATAAGACTGTAGTAAAATAATGGCAGTGCTTGGGTACCCAAAGCCAGTCTTCATTCTCCATCTCAGTCTTCCTACCACTCACTAATGCAAGGGTTCTCAACTTTTTCATGGCCTGGGGATGCATTTTCCCTTTCTTATTGACTCGTTGGCTAAAGGGTTATAAATTAGGACAATTTATTAAAACTTCATGTAGTTTATTAAATATGATACTAACATACAGGTTCACACATTTGTCATTAATTCTCTTTAACTGCATTAGTCACAAATGAGATACCTGACACTGTTTTTGTTTACTTAATCTGTCAGCATCAGGTTGAGTTACTGTTGTTGCAAACAGCATGCATCCCTCCAAGTGTTCATCAGTGAGACACATCCTATTTCTTGATTTCAGGTTCATTAAGCTGAACAGTTGGTCATAAAGCATTTTTTATGATTTCAGGATATTTTGGGACAGAAACATTTTGAATGGAAATCAGGAAGTGATGAGTCACAGAATTTTTCCCTTTGCTTTGAGTCACTCTGAAAATTAGCAAATTTCAGTTGAAGGTGAAAGTTTGAAAACCATTTCCACTATGAGAGATAAGTTACTATTTTCAAATGACAAGTCTTTAAGGCATGTTGCTAACCTGTGTACAAATCCAGCCTTTTAAGTATCCTTAAGGGGGAACTACAGCAGCCAATTCCTCTAAAAACTTAACTGTTTCAATATTCACATTGCTCACTAGGCACTATCTATCATAAGCCAATTCAATTCATGTCACATCCTCAACCTATTTTCATAAAAACATCTTTTCAAAACTAACGTTCCATCTTGCCTTTTAATCGGGACAGTGAGTGCTAAATGGAGTGTATGCGATGTGGAGGAGTCAGAGTCATCATTGATCCACTCAGTAACGAACATGTACATATTCAGACAGTGTAGTGATTCTGCTTGCTAGCAATAAGCAGCAAGACCATTCAGAACTGCTTTCCTCACTGTGGTTTTAAGCATTCAGGCTTGGAGATGCCAGATACAACCGATAGCAAAAATTATGCCATTTAGGAAGTGCAACACGTCAGAAACTACGTAGACTTTGCATGCATAGACAATAGTCTTCAATGTTACAATGAAAATTAAGATTATGAGGACGCAATTGTTGAACAAATTGTAGCAAAACACCAAAAGACATCAGAAGACCAGGAAAGTGATGAGGATGACACACCTGAGCTTGAGTGAGGGACTAACCAGGATGCCAGGAAATTTGTTGCTGGATTATGATGCTACTTCATGCAGGAAGGCAATGAAGGCAGTCCTATATCTGCACTAGATACCTGCTCTGATTTTGTTCAGTTGCAGTCAATCAAGAGAAGACGGCAGGGTATACTTGATAAAATTCTCCATTTTTCACTGTTAAGAACTACATACATGCATTTTTTGATACATACATTAAATTGAAATTGTTTATAGCGTAAATATTTTTCAATGATCTGTACCATTTGTTCCAAAATTTATTTACAGTATGTTGCTCAATAAATGTGAGTTTGTCTTTTGTTTTAAACCCTTTTAAATCTTTATTAGGAATTTCACATAATTGAGGCAGCCACTTATTTGGGCCAAAGTGCTCTAGTCCCGATGTGTCCCAATTAACAGAAATCCACTGTATTTGCATGTTCAATTCTAGTTTGATTTTTGTAACAGAATTTTTTTGATTGACACTTAATCTAAGATCCTCACAAACTGTTGCAATCATTTGAAATTTTTACTAAGGTTCTTTCAACTGGTTGACATGAAACTACATCACCTGCATATACCACAATTTGTTTTAATAAACTCTCTTCTCCTGTTACTCTTCTCATTACCTCATCAAATACAATGTTGAACACCACAGAAAATAAAACATGACACAAATGTTCTTTATTCTGTCTATAGGTATTCTGCAAACATTTGCCTTGTATAATATTTTCAAAATTTCCTGTTGATTGATACTTTGCCTTTTCAACATCAATAAAAGCCAAATGCATGACTGAACCAAACTTTCATCTTTGATCCATAAACTGCAAATAATAAATTGACCTCCAATCCATTAACTCTGAGGTCATACTCTTCTCCCATTTTATTTTTCCATGTGTCTTCTCAGTTTCAGATTAATGACTCCCATATAATTTTAAATACTGGCTACATAATTTAATTCATCTATAATTTCTATATTTATCTTCTTTTATTGATTGGGATGATCAGGGCTAAGATACTGTTCTTCTCTTTCATATATAACACCATTGATATTCTGCTGGTTCTCCAGGTTTCAAGAAAAATCTAACAGCCAAAATACCAGAAAAACTTTTGTGTTTCACCATATATGACCTAGCAATGTTAAAGGAATGAGAACAGACACAATTTTGATTGCAGTACTAATATTCATTTCTATCCAAACTGCATAATGAAAACACATACTACCCAGTACCTCCGTATCCCTCTTCAGCAAATGCATATTAAACTTGACATTTAAACCAAAGCATTTCAAATTAATACTACTTAAACCATAACAACTAAGTTCTTAAGTACTGCAAACCATAAACTGAAATAACTGCCAATTTTTATCACATTTTTAACTCATATCAAAATGTGCAAATTCATATACTCTGAATATTTCTTTCATTTCACTAGTGGTAGCAGGTCATGTGGCTTCATTCTATGCAGTAACTATGATCTGAACATGCAATATCCATGTTATATTTCAAATTATGTTCATACAAAAATCTACCAAAAAGAGATATTGGTTTGCTATAAACAATAAATCTGCCTTGCATCAGCATTCCAATGGCTCCCACCCACTTTCTTAAAAAATACCATCTTTACTGCATGTCTTTCATGTGAAAAATGCCCATAATATTCACTCATTACAGTGGGAGACAGAAAATATGTAACTGGAAAGTTGTTTCTGTTTATTAGCAAATAATTCAATTAGGACAGTAGCATAATGCTTTAGAAATATTACCTCATTTGGCACACATAAAAATGCAACAAGTTATTATTTTTCAGTCTTTCAGAGGTATAGTTACAACCAATATTGAAAGAAAGGTACCTACATCTTTTCCTTGTCTGCTTCTCTCTCTGTAACAACTCAAGAACTAAAAAATAATTTGCATGAAATTTCATAATAGGAAGTATCACTAAAATTTGTCAACACATTCCAAACTGTCAAAAACAAATAATAATGGGCAATTTTACATGAAAACATGTCTATGCACACAAGTCACTAGATGGGGATTCCCTAGCAACCCATGCACAATCGTATGTGACGTCACTACCCAGCCAGACAGCCACTTAACACCCCGACCCATGTAACTCTCACTTCCCACCCCCCCCCCAAAAAGACCTCTAAACATTTCTGGTGCCATTCACAAAGGTCTTACTCTGGAGACTGTGACAGTATTGATGCCTTATGTTTTTTCCTATATTATATGCTCCTACATATACTACAAAACTTCCAACACAATTTAAAAGTAGTATTAGAAGCATACATTTTGAAAAAAGATGGAAGTGGGAAAATGTTTAAAAAATATTTTTTAAAAACAAATTTCTGATTGGTGGAGAGGAAAAACTGTTTAGTGTAACTGACACACTCCTAATCATTAACTGGGTTTTTTAATAGAGGTATTGATTTCACTCCCTATCAAGTGCTCAAAATATACTGCCTTTCTTTAAATACTCATGTTTAAATGACAGCTTCATTTCATTCTGGAAACCACTTTCAATTTGCAACGTAACTGTATTTAAAGAAGCACCATGGTAAAAGAGGAGTACATAAAAAACTGTTAATTGTACTCACCCTGTAAGGAATCCTGTGACTGGTTCTCTCCTGATGGTCCAGGTTTGGCTAGTATCTGACCTATAAAAAGAAAGTATGCTTACAAACAGTAAAATGTTATCAACCACTCTTATCTTGAATAAACTTGTTACAGATATCAGGCTGTTAATATAAAATTTCTTTCTATGCAACAATACTCTGTAAAGTAATCATATATTTTCTTAGAATGTCTCATTTTATGATGCAATAGTATGTGCCTTCTGTTAAAAATTATCAAAATGTTCATTACCCAAAACTGAAGTGGAACGATTTTTTGCTTATTTAAAGTTCAAAAGTGATACAGCACACAAAAAAGGACAGCAATTCAGCTTCATTATAAAAATGATCTGAAGCTGTTAGTGTGACAGCCTGTTTTAGGAATTTACTGTGTATTTGTTAACAATTTTACCCAAAAAGCGTGTCTGTTTTCACATGACCCTCAGACTAAACACAGGCCATTTCCTTAACACAATTTACCAACTACTCTTTGTAATGGAGAAATGTTTTCTTTGCAGCAGAAGTACATTTTTCAACATTTACCTGAGCTTCAGTTTCAAGGGGTTAATCTATGTCAGTGATTGGTCCAAGCCCAAAAAATATTTCTTTCTTATGTTAAAAACCATTCTCTGTGGTACCTCTAATCACATGCATATACTTATACAGTTGCTATGAGTTGATGATCCTTTGTATCAGCAATGAGCCCTGTCCACTGCAAAACAGCAATAGCCATTAACTGTGTGCTTGCTCCACCCGTAACTAGCTTCTCTGCTTTGTAAGTAAATAACAAAGTGGTGATTCTTTCTGATACTAGTCATACTTGTATGTACTCTGACCTCTACAACCCAGCAACTAATTGCATGCTTCAATGATATAGAGTTCATATGAAGAGCTAACAACAGTACTACTTATTTCCAAGTGAGTTAAAGATTATTGCATCTTATGCAGGCAGGGCCAAAAAATTATAAATCATAGGCTACACATTTTCATAAACCTGGAACACCATAATATCATAAAGAACCCATAACATCAAGATGCTGCCTTCTCACAACTTCATTTCATCACACATATTAAGTGTGAACAATAATTTCGGTGAATGATCCCACTACTAACAAATGAGTGGTGGTGACAGAATGTCAGTGGGCAGGGCTTATTATGGCAACCCTCCCTCAAGAGCATGTTGAGTACCGACCAATTATCACAGTCCAGTGCGGATTGAGATTCATTCGTGTTAGCATGTGTTTGTACCATTCTTCCAAAATGTTGCATTCTGAGCATAGTGCAAACATGAATTAAGCTTGGAAATACAGCTAAAGAAACACATGAAATGCTAGACAGACTACGGAGACGATGCTGTAACAAAAAAGATGATTTTCAAGTTGTCTGAAAGGTTTCGACAAGAAAATTAGTAGCTGGAAGATGAAGTAAGAAGCAGTCACCTGTTCAACATCGCCAAATGATGAAAACATCGCCCGAGTCCATAATCTCATCTGATCAAACCGACGTTCAACCATTCGAGAATCAGCTGAGGAAATAGATCTTACATTTGGTACAGTTCAGTCCATCTTGACTGACAATTTGAACATCAAATGTGTCAGCGCAAAGTTTGTTCCACACATCCTCACAGGAGGAAAAAGAATTGAGTTCACATTTCATCGGAGTTGAGGGACCAAGCCATTTCGTATCATTCTTATTGGGTTCCATGACAAAACCCTACACAACAAAAGCCCACACAAAAATTCTGCACAAAAAAAAGACGTCATAAATGCTCACATGAAAAGTATCCACACAGAAAAATGGTCACACGGACGAATGCCCACACGGAAAAATACGCTCATAGAAAAATTCTCATGTCTTGCCTCATTTTGCTTTTGGCAATGTTGGCTTCTGCTTTTTGAGGACAGGAATCATGACAATGTTCAGTTGGTGGTTGTACTATGTTGCCATCTTTGGTCTTCATAATGGAATTACACTTTACAGAGCGACTCTGCCTGCATCTCCACGTCAGCACCCCATTTATAGTGCGAAAATATAGATATTCAAAACCTAAGAAAGTCAAAACTTTGTTGCCCTTCTGACTGCTTGAAAACTCCATTCTTGGCTCTAAAAAAAATTAATAAAACTATATCATCTAATAAAATAATGTGCATTAAAAAGATAAAGCAATATAAATAGAAAATATAGAGAAGGAAAGGTACTCACCGAAACATTGTAGCTAACCGCCTGCTCAGGAAACAGAACAGTTCATGTCGCTTACACACACTTCTTGTATTACTAAAAAGGTTTCTGTCAACCTGACTCAACTCAGCCCGCTGCCGGCCCAGTGAGCTAACCTGAGATTAACGGTTTTCCACGTACGGACATTCCAGCTCACGGCATACAGCTGGCCTGTCTCAGCTCAATGTTGGAGTGGGTGGACTGATTCAGCTGACGTGAACTAGCACAGCAAACGCTGACTTTACAGAACTTTCCATTTATTATAATTTCATTTATAAACATATTCTTTGTTCATGTCAATAATAATACTGCATGTTTGAACTTTACTTCACAGCATGCACATAACGCATTATTAAGAGTGTATTACTTTATAGTATCGTGAATGTGAGCATTTATCAGCGTGGGTATTCGTCCGTGTGAGCATTTTCCCGTGTGGGTATTTTTCATGTGAGCATTTATGACAGAGGGCTTTTTTCTGTGCAGAATTTCCGTGTGGGCTTTTATCATGTGCGCATTTATCTGGTCACCTTCTTATTGACAGCGATAATGAGTGATGAGACGTGGGTTTATGGTTATGACCCAGAGACAAAAGCACAAAGCTCCCTGTGGAAGACACCCTTGTAACCAAGACCAAAAAGGTGCATCAATCAAGATTGCACGTGCAGGTCACGCTCATTGTATTCTTTGACATCGAAGGAACTGTTCACTTAGAATTTGTTCCCCGAGGTGCTATCATTAATTCCGCCTTTGACCAAGTTTTGACATGTCTGAGGCAGTCAGTCAGAAAAGACTGGAGACGTGAGAGAACAGGAGGCTGCTCCACTACAACGCGCCCTGCCACACGCCACTTTCCAACCAGCAAATTTTTGGCGGGCAAAAATGAAGTTTCTATGGAGTTACAACCATCCACTCAGAAAAGTATTTAAAATGGAACACAAAACAGAGTAAACTTCCATTCTCTTCCTTCATGAACTACATCACAAATTGACACATACTGTAAATATCAATTAATGACAAGATATACTTCTAATTAAAAGTTATAAAATTCATGAAATAGTGCACAGTCCTAAACGCTGTACAGACTATTGCTTATATTTGTATTATGGTCACATCACCACAATTAAACAAGGTTTGGAAAAATCAGTTTTAGTCAGTATAGTGACTGGCTATGGGCTGAACAATCAGGGTTCAATCCCCAGCAGAGGCAGAGGATTTCCTTCTAGCCTCTGCATCCAGACTGGCTCTGGAGCTTACCCAGTCTCCTGTCCAATGAGCACCAAAAGTCCTTTCCCCAGGCCCAAAATATGGCCAGGGCATGACGCTGACCACTCACCCCTCCATCTAGTGTCAAGGTTGAAAATGAGTATGGGCTATACCTGACTGCCTACATGGCACACAGCGGGATAGCTTTCCTGCTATTCAACACCACTAAACAGTATGTAATTTTGTATGGAAAATGTCTACTCCTTTCAGAAACAGTATCCACATTTTATAATGTTCTGTGAATTAGATCTGAAAGTACACTTACTTCCTGATAACAGTGTGATGTACAAAGATAGAACTATGTAATTCTTCCACAGGTTTAAACTGCCATAATTCTGAACTTCTCTGTCACATAGACATGCTGTAACCCTCAAATTGGGGATTTATTAATAATGATTGTGGGGTATACTTGCCTTACTGTTACTCCTGAAAGCCAACTCAATGGCATATTTTAGGTATAAGTACCACAATATTTTACAATTTTCTTAAGTTAACCAAAAACTGAGAATTATGATATAAATCACAGGACAGTTAACAGGTGCAAATATGAACCCATGTACAGGTGGTTGCATGTACAGAGTTCCATACTTATATTCTATAACAGTTCTGAAATATGTCAATTTTTGGCTAGCTTATGAAAATGATATTTTGTGGTAAGTTACAACTAAAATACATACAAATTGGCAAACAATAAGACAAATATTCCCTAAACATACTCTCACAGATCATACATCTACAGTTCCATAGTAGAAATAGTAAAAATAACGTAAGTATAACCTAATGTTCCAGAGATACTGCAGTGATGAAAATAGCACACATGATGTTCTTGTTTTGTGCATACTTCCTAAAAATTTATATCTGTGGAATTGTAACATCAGGAATGTTCAATGCTTGTTTTACTTCACAAGAAGTCACACATTAATACTGACAACAGACATTAAATTCTGTGGATGATGTAACAATCATTTCTTGACTTCATGGCGGATAAGTCGTTACACAACTGTCACAGCAATCCATACATATTTTTTTCTTAATAACCAATTAAAATGTCTCCCAAGACTTTCTGTCTATCACTACTTTCAAGTAAACACAATCAAATTTATGCTACCAAAGAATGTGATATATTAAAACAAAGACTCCACAGACATCTAGTTCTTTCTCTTGAAACATGAACATATCAACTTTAATTGGAACCCCTATTTACACCTGCCTTCACTAATTTAAACACAATACATTAATATTTTAATCTATACTAAAAAGTACACTAAATTGCATGTTATCAATGCAACTTCTAATCAAATACTAATTCCATTTAAATTCTTCAAAACGTAAAATGGCTAGTTTGGCATTCTGATATTAAGAACAAGCAAATAATGCTCCTCGCACACCATGCAATTTTGTGCTGGGAATGATCCTGGCCAGAAGGGTTAAAACATCTGCCAATGTTACATATGAAATTTTCAGAAAGGAATAAAAGTAATATTCTTACTTATATCTGATGCTGACAGACTTTCTGCTGAGGGTGGAAGTGTTGAATCCCCAGAATTGGTGCTATACATTTCTGATGGTTCTTGTTTGCTGTCTGTTGATGTACCATGTGCAAGAAGCTGTGACATAGGAGGCAAGGGGTCTCGACTTGAACCCTGACCACCACCGCTGCCACCACCACCTTGATTGGAGTCACTATAACTACAAGAAGAGGCATCCTGTTCTTGTTCCATGTAGTCTGGCATTTCCAATTTCAAGTTTGGAACTGGAATAATTTCAATAGGGTCTTGGCTTGATTTACTGATTGATGAAGTTGCAGATGCAGCTGAAACCCGTCTCCTTTCAGTTTCCCTTTCTCTTTCCCCATCCTTCTCAACTGTTTCCCTACTAGGTAGTACAGGATTGTTTCCACTCTTCACAGTCCCCCCTACACTACCTCCCCATTTCCGTCGCTTGTTGCAGGGTGGAGAGTCAGGCCGTTGGTCCACAGGGAAGAAAGAAACAGGTGAAGAGACACTTCCACTCACACTACTAGAAGTTGATAACTGTTTCTGTCCATGAGTATTATTACTAAGTTGAACTTCTGGCTCAGGTGGCAACAATGGAGAATCGGGTAATTCAACCTGCAAGCACAATGTATGCGTATTTATATATATATATATATATAAAATTTATAAGCAGCTATATAGCTGATTTTATTTCTGCAGAACATTTCGCACCTCCTTTGGATCATCAGATCCGTGGTCGTTTCCGTTCCCATCAGAGAGTCCCTGAACTGCCAACAATTCAGCTGTTGTAAGAAAAGATGAAAGCTGATCTTGTACAACATTCACTTCACCTTGGTACATGAAATCTACTAATGCTGCCAGATCTTCAAATTTTACGTTTCTGAATATTATCACAGGATGCTGGCAAGGGTTCTCCTGCAACACACATTTATTCCAATGTTGTTAATGGTTAAAATTATCTGTTGTAAAGCTAACTAACGAACTAACACTAGTCCTATTGCATCTGTACATATTCGTGACAACTTGACCAAATCATAGCTGAATGTTCAACACTATTTCATATTCTGGATCCCAGATTCAAATCTTGGTCAAGAAATCAGCTATCTTGGATAATTGATGGTTATCCTTAGTCCTGTCAGGCAAAGGCTGCCCCAACACATCACGACCACTTTCTTCCATATTCTTTCCAACTCATTATTCACTAGCTACCTTATCATTTAATGCTATACAGTCCAAGTAAATGACACCATTAAATAAACTACAAATAAATTGGAAATTAAACAAAATCAAAGGAACTTTCTGCCAAAAGCATATTCCCACACTTACTCACTTAAGGTTTCAAAGGAGAAATTTTGTTTCTTCATAAATATATTAACAATGTCCAACTTTTGATTAAATATTAAATACTAAAATAAATAAAAATAAAATAAATCCATGGCGTAACAGCTCCAGAGAGCCAAAGCTGACTAGCTTGACTGCTGGTCTCACGTTCACATGCCTAAGCAGAGGTGAACGATCATCCAACCAGATATAGTGTGACGTGTGGTCAGCACGACGAACCCCCAGCCATTGCTAGTTTTCCTGACGGGATTACGCTACCCATTGTAGCTCCCCAATTTCCTCACGATGCTGGGTTGGCACCGGTCCCATACACTGGTCGAAAGCTCATGAGAAAATTTCTCTCCCCCCGAGACTCGAACCAGCGCGCATTCTGCATCGCCGGTCCGAAGCATGATGCCTCAGACCGCGTGGCTACGGCGCGGGACAAATATTGAACACTACCTGCCTGATTTCATGAAAACTGTAACAAACAGCAGTACAATCTTGCAAATCCTCTTCAAAGGTGAAGAAGCATTAAACCAAAACACATTTTCATAAGGGAGAACATGGGAAATGTAATGTTCTTTCATCCTGGTTAGTGGAACTTATAGGTACATGTTTTTTTTCTCTGCTGTTAATTTGGTCTCTTGACTGGTTGAACTGACCTTAAAAATATGAAGCAAGGCTAACTACTCAGTCATGCGTATGTCATATTCATACATAAACATTCTGCATTTAACCAAATGGTTATTTTGGTAATAAGCTGCCAAAACAGAAACAGAATAGAAAAATTATCATGGGCATCACACATTTCCAGTTAAGGTTTAATGAAACCACCTCTTATTTCACTCACCTTGAAAAGATCTCTGAAATATGAACTACAAGCAGACAATAGCATCTTGTGGGCTCGTATTCGCTTTCCTTCACAACTCAGAGTCACATCCACAAGATCTTCATCACTCCGCAGAGAGTCGAAAGCACATGTAATGTGGCGTAAGTAATTGTTCCAACGTAAAGAAAACTGCTGGTTGGTTCCCATTTTCCTTTTAACAACTGTGAACACAGATTAAACATTGTGCCAACTTTCCTGAAATGCATACAATCTTAAATGCAAATTATTAGTTCCATGTTTGATGTAGCATCACTCGTCACACATTTCTAATACATTTTCACTATTACGCAAAGTCTGTCATATTGATTAGACTAAATGTTATGGCTACTATATAGACATCATCATGCCTATACTTAGCCAGAACATGTAGTCAATGCACAACAGTAAAAAGTGCAGTGGAAATGTGTGAGACGAGATGGCATATCAAAGACAAAACTAATGAACTAATAATACACCAGGATGATGTACTACAGAATTACAAATGGAATATTACACTTCAGTTAAAATATTAATTGTAGCTGTACAATAGAATAGTGGGTACAGAAAATAATACAAACATGCATCAAGATGACAGCCTTCTGGGATATAATACCACATAGTCTCACAGAAGTTGAATAACACTTAAGAGGTGCTTACTGTCTTCATCATCAGCACAATGTTAGCACCGCTAAAATGTTGACCAATGTCTGTGAGCATACAACAAACATACTAGAAAGCTGTAATCTTCATACTCACTGCTATGAGAACCTGAAATCTCACATTCAAAACAGATAGTTTCTTACCCATTGCATCTGAAATAGGGGGAGTGGGCAATAAAAATTCACATCTACATGTATCTGTCTAGTTACTTGAACAAAGTATGTGCTATAAACAATATATGTAGTTTGACCAAGAACCTTGGTGTGTTACAATACAGATCACTAAATTCTTGGAATATTTCCATCATGTGTTTTTTTTTAAAAAAAAGAACACTACATTTCAGCAGCTCGATCCGTTTTCGTCCTCAGGTTAAAATTGATTGAAGGAACAGTTGGGTCCGATAGAGAGAGCTAACCTCAATCATTAGACCAGTAATTAAGGTTAGCTCCAAGACTTCTGACACTGGGAGGAAAGATTACTGAATCGCTAATGTACTAGTAGTAGCAGAAGTAGAAGAAACCATGGAAACACATCCACTTACATTCTTATTACCCACATAAATGTGACCCGCAAATCCATGACCATAAAAACTTGGGGAAAATCAAAAGGCCTATTAAATGTTTTTGTATAGTTATTTGTAAACATAAAAATGGTCAAATGATGAGCAACCTAATTTGGTATGGTGCAAGCAGCCAAATTATTAATTGTTAAATAAAAAGCCCACAGAACCCAAAATCGCCTTACAAATTCTCAGTTGTAAGGCTAATAAGTAACTTAGTATCATAAATATAAAGTTGAACCAGTTTGTGTACACAAAGTCAAGGACTTCTTCAAAACATCATATGATCAGAAAATTATCTACTTGTGCAGTTTAATTAAGACACTCTGGAGCTCAAAAATGTATCCTCACTAAAGGCTTAAATTTTCAGATAGAACCTTAGTGATCTGCAATTAGGTTTAAGCATGCATGGAAATCAAACTTTGACAAGCAAGTTTCCAACAAAAGCAAATCAAACTCTGATATGCCACACAGCAAGCAGGCATGCATGTCAAATTCAGTCTTCTTCATTGTTTTATGCAAACCAACTCATTTCTTAATTACACAATGTGCAAACCAAAACGTCCAAATGTCAACAAACATGTAAAATAAGTACTTTCATTCCAGTATAGTAAACTCATTTTTGTATTTTCTGAGGTTAGCATTTCATACATGAGGGTTATGTCTGCAACTTATATTTATATTGCAAACACCTGAATTTGTCTGACATTTTATTCATCATCATCTATGGTACTTCAGCCAGTTTTCTGGCCATGACCTCCCCTGAAATTTTATTATATAACTCCAACATCTGTTTGTTGTAATGCATACATTTGGCATCCTTAATGACCCAAGTTAATAATTTCCAAAATTTCCTATAGTGAATTTTCATTATGTTGCTCCTAGATAAGATATTTAAGTTAAGATTTTGTTTATGTTTACAAGATTTTTTGATTCATTTGGTTATAAATTCATCAGCATCAAACACCCTTTTTTCTTGACCTGAAGCTTTTACAGTGACCAAATATAAAAAAATCTTCTCAGGCTACTAGTCTTGCAGGTGGTTAAATGAAGAAAACACCATTTCAAGACTCTACTGGCTAATCTGCAGGTAGGTGTGTGTGTGTGTGTGTGTGTGTATATATATATATATATAACATGGATGCGATCCCCTACAACTTCAGTACCCTGGGGACAAGAACAAAGATAATTTTCTTCATTTAACCACCTGAAGCATAGGAGCCCGAGAAGAAATCATCATAACCTTCCTGTTTTGGTGGGAAAACATGTTTCCTAAGTCTTAAGATGATGTTTAAGAAAGTGTCAAATATTGAATCTACATTATGGTTGCTTAATATTGATTTCCAACTTTCATTACTTACATGTGTTTAAATTCTATAAAAGTAACATTAATAATAAGTCTAGTTTGTTTCCAAAATTCATGATGTATCAAAGCTGATTTTATATTTTTTATGACTACAAGTTGAGCATCATGATCAGATAGCCCATTTACCACCAGTTCAATAGAAACATGATCTTTCCTCGAACTATCTATTGGATTAGTTTTGAATTCGTGTGCTTTCTTGTATAATTATTTTTGCAGTAATATTGTAGCAGACTGTAAATTACTGTCACATCTATGGTAATTTATATATGTATTAGAAACATGAATTGTATTTGTGCTACATGTTCTACATTCTCAGCTTAGACCTATGAAGGATATGCGGAAAGTAAAAGAATTATATTCTACTACAAAGACCGCAAACTCCCAAATGCTAAGAAATTATACTTCAACAAACTTTCAATTTGAAAAAAAAATATAAAAAATCCTAGTCTATGATCTTGGTTTATAAACCTTCCATTCAACGGAACATAAATTTTACTTGAAACTATTTAACTGGCATTCAACAAAATCAAAATCGCACACATTTCATCAAAACCCGCGGCAAACACACAGAAGAATTCGTGGTTATATGATGGTAAATGTAGAGTACCTGACAGATTCAGACGCCTTACATTCTTAATTGTATTAATATGCAATATATCAGAACACAAAAATAAACAATCACACACTCTGATATACACGTTCTTCAATTAAAATATTACCTTATTGTTGCACGTACAACATAAAAAAAACTTTAATCTTCTCAACCTCCGAACCGAACTTTCTACTACTCCACAAAATGGCGCAGACACCCTTTCACGGACCGAATTTTTTTTTCACAATATGGAATTAGCGTCGCGTCGGTGAGACAGGAGTACCACTACAAATATATAGTCTACATAATGTGCAATACTAATTGCAGAGAAGTACCATTACTCATAGTATATTCGTAGGGACCTTGATTTTATGATACTGACTTACAAAGACCTACATACGATGCACTTTAACAATTTTTCCGTAATTTAGCTCGCGTTGTTGGCTATTATGGATAAGACTGAAAATTGGGTGCTTTCATATAGATCAATCAAGCATTATTGAACCCCACTTATGATACACAAGTCTATTTGAAATAATCAAAGAATTGTGTGTGTGTGACTCGTACATTTATGTACAGTACATATTTAGTTTCTGAAAAATACATTATATTTTGTTACTCTGCGCATTTGAGTACTCGCATTTAGTCGAAAAAATATGTCAAGACAATTTGTACCTGAACTACAAATGTTATATTTTGACAAATATCCATAAATTGCAACAAGATAGAAAATGCATCCTAAGTAAAGCTGGTGAAATCATGTCAAACATTGTATCTGAAGGTGAAATGTAACTTCGTTGTAGAAATCCTAAAAACATAACCTCACATTTCACAGGAAATTAAAATAAAGTAGAAGTCTTCAAGGGAAGTGGTAAAAAGTCTGAGAACATCAAAACCTAAAGTTCCTGGTATCACTGATCAGTGGACCAAACATCTGAGCAAATTTGTCGGAATTTGACCTCATGGAGAAACATTTATGTGATAATATTTTTAATGCGTGTTTTGTTCGTTGGAAAAAAAGGAACGATTTAAATCGTTATCCACACTTACGCTTGCGTACGTCCGCGCTACCTGGAGGTATAGTTTCGTATTTGTTGGTTTGGTAACGTTTACTGTCTGTGATTCATGGCTTATATGTGAATTTTTAAGTATACAGTCTGTGAGTCTGTGCATTATTATAACATTTCTGATCGGTACAACGTTTGTCATTTGTTTGTACTGATTTTGTGAAGTCATTTGTTTAATATAATTACAAAGCGTAAATTTGACAAGCAACATGGGTTCTAGGTATGATAGAGCAATTACAGTATTTTCACCTGATGGTCACTTATTGCAGGTTGAATATGCACAAGAAGCGGTTCGTAAAGGATCCACGGCTGTGAGTTATTCTAGATAGATAGTTTGGAATATACGTGTGTGCTGAATTGTTTTTTTAGTAGTATAATAATTGCTGAATGCAACAGGAGTTATCTATTGGCTTTCAGGTTATATCTTTTCTTTGTCGTTATGGAAAATGGCCTATATCCCAACAAGCTTACTTTAAATTTTGACAAAATAAACTTAATAACATTCACAAATAATAAGGAACCAATACATAATATGCACATAAGCTAATATAAACAATACAGGAACCAGTAACAACATTTTTTTGATAATAAATGAAATTGGAAAATTCATCTTTACTACATTTTTCCGCAATTAAACACAAAATGTTTCACAGTAAGTCCATCTTATTTATAGATAGTAAAAATTACAACTACTATATATGTCTTTACTCTTCATTCAATCATGTTATATGGGACAGTATTCTGTACTGGATGTTGAGGCTGAGTGGTTAGCACTTGTGCTTCTGTTCCAGAAGTTCCTGTATTCAAATGTCTGCCTGGAGACTGGCTATCTGTATGGAGGTTTTTGTTGTCCTCAGTCACTCCAGGAAAATATTTGAATAATACCTTAAATTAGGACATGACCACATAATTTTATATCCTTTCAAATTCACTGTTTTTCAGTTTTTTATCCTTCAGTGCTTTTTAGTCTGAGCTAGTAGCAGTACCATTAAATAAAAAAAATAAACCTGGAATAACTAGTCTCAAAGTGCAAAAACAAAACACAGTGTCCAGAGACATGGTAGGTGCTCAGAAAAGAGAGTCATGTTGGAACTTGTTTAAGAAATTTTATATATTGTCTCTTGCTTCATATTTGGGATGCCCCAAGTTCAGAACTCATCCTAGAGACAAACTATGCTGGGATAGAACCATAATGTAGGATTTTATTGCTTCCTTCTACATTGTTTCCTTGAGTCTTAACTGACTGTCAGATATGGAGCTCTTGTGTATATTACTCTTTCTCAATAAACAGGTTGGTGTTCGTGGATCAGATGTGGTTGTCCTTGGTGTAGAAAAGAAATCTGTAGCTAAGTTACAAGAAGAACGCACAGTGAGAAAGATTTGTCTCTTGGATGATCATGTTGTTATGGCCTTTGCAGGTAATTATTACCATATAAGAAAGATTTGCATGGCTGTACAAAAGTTCGACAGAAAAGAAGTAAAGGCATGAATTATACTGTTTGTTACTTGGAGTTTTTACAGCTACTGAAGTGCAATTTATTTGTTGACTTATTTTATATATTAATTCACATTATGTTTTATAATTTCTGCATCATTACTTGCGTGCCTTTGTCTCTGATAATTAACTATCATGGAGAAGTGGGTTTGATAAGAGTAACTTATTGTTGTTTATTTTGTGGGGAGAATAATAGATCACATTGTTTTACAGTTTTATAGGTGCACATAGTATCTTTAATGTTTGTATACTTTGTAACTTGAAATATAATTTCTTGTTGATATTTGTAATATAGGTTTACAGATATATCATCTACTGGCCTATGCTGCTGTAAATTTATTATATTATAAGTGAAAACTATAAAGAACACTGAAACCATGAATTGTATTTAATAGTAGATATAATTATAATTTGTGTTTGCTGTTTACACCCACCCATAATGTTGGAGGTAGTAGAGAAACAGCAGACCAGGATGTAAATTACCAATGTGTACATGCAAGCAAATGTCTTACAAACATCATTTTGTGTTGTATATAAGCAGAAACTTCTTGTGTATATATTTCATTTATCTTACTATAAAGATTGGTTTTTATTTAATGTCAAGTGCTCATTACTGTTTTTAGATTTTAACCAAAATTGGAATGTGTCAACACATTTTAGCAAAACTCTCCAATATAAAATTTAATGAGAATGTTCAGCCATTCACAAATTGTTATGTGCAGACAGATGGACAGACATGATGATGTTAGTAGGTGCTATTTTGCAACTGTAGTTGTGAACACTCCTAAAATCATGTGTTCTGTGTTTTAATTATTGTACTAAGTATACGGGTATATGGTGGATGGTCATGCTTTTCTTGATTTGTTGTAGGATTAACTGCTGATGCCAGAATTCTTATAAACCGAGCCCAGATAGAATGTCAATCTCACAAACTGACTGTTGAAGATCCAGTTACATTGGAATATATTACCAGATATATTGCAGGCAAGATTCCTTATTTTTATTATTAATTTATATGTAATCTGTGGATGGAATTTTGACAGAGAAGTATGGCAGCAGATTGATAAACAGAGTGTAATTATGTACCATAAATCATGGTGGTCCAACCAGTTTTCCAGTTAGAACCAAGGGCCAAGAATTGCCTCCTGGCACTGCTTCTGAAAACTAATAGATAGTTTCCATTATTCTTTACAGTACTTATTTAGAAATTACAAATCACCACAGTGTGTGCCCAAATATATAGTTTAAATGTGCAGAAATTAATAGTTGCATATTATATACATTTGCCCCTGCAACTGATTTTACTTGGAAAGCTTACATTTTATGTGAGGATTTAAAGTCAGTAGCGTGTGTGGCACTTGTGCATTCTGTGCAAAAAAAATTGAACGTTATAATTTACCAAATCTGAAATCGGAAGGGATGTAAACATATAGCTGGTGTCATAATTTCAGTCGTTTAATAATTTCCTTGTATTTGTCCATATGTGGCTATTTTCTGTCTTTCATTAATTACAGTTATGTATGCCAGATATGTATTAAGCACAGACTGCCAATTTGAAGAAAACTTAAATTAATGTCAGTGACTTCTGAGACATGGAAATAGGTTCCCCAGCAACATAATGGCGAAGACTATAATTTGCTTGGAATCCTTACTCTCATGGTAGAAACGTAGGTAGTGTAGCAGACTACTGTTGATTTGAAAATCAAATACATGTAGCCCTCGATTTACGCCGGGGATGCATTCCTGGACAAAACGGCGTAAACGGAATCGGCGTAAATTGAAACTCTTTTATAATGTAAATCAATGGGAAGTCAATGACATGCGTTCCCAGCACCCAAACATTGATGAGTAATATCATGGCGTTACATCTAAAGCTCTGAAATAACGCAAATAGAATAAAGGGAATTTAAAAAATATATATTTTATACACTTACAATTGGCAATTTGTTGGTCCATACGATTGACTGCGATTCTTTCATGTGATTGATGTGTACAGTCATCTCTGCTGTTGTGCAATAGTTGCATTCATGTAAGACGCTGACCTATAGAAAATTGCTTAGGAAAAATAACCCCGGTACTTCCGCAGAGATTAAATTAGTCCTTTGAAAGCGCCAGGAATGAAATTTCATAAGAGCAAACTCGCATATGCAAAAGTTTGCATTTCACAAACAGCTTTTACTGATTCATTGATCTCATTGGAGCAAATTTGTGTTTATGAAACATACATAATTGCAGAGATGACTGTATTTATAATTTTTGTTCAAAATCAGCGATGTAAGAATTACGATTTAATATAAGAAGTACGAGAAACATTGTAAAACATAAATAATAGTAAAAAATATTTTTTAACTTTTTGACTTGCTGGTTTCAAAATCGGCGTTATTCTGAATCAGCGCAAATCGAGGTTCAAGTCATAGTAGGTAGGATATTGTATTTTTTCATTAATGCATATGTTGTATTGGTAGGAATACTGATTCAAATTGTGCACTTTTATATTGGCCAGCTATTTTCAGAACTCATACCAGGAGCAACTGGAGTAGTAGTAGTAGTAGTAGCAGCAGGTTTATAGGCACATCAGCTACTCTGGCTATTTGTGCCTGAAATGGTAGTAGAGTACACATTTATTGAATACATGGTCATGCACCTTGTGCTAGGTATATGCAGAGAAAATTATAGTGGTAGTGAGGTGGTACATGGAGAAGTATCCTAATCATAGAGTACCAAATTGAAGAACTTTCCTTTGTGTTTATCTGAACATTTGTGAAACAGGAACTATCTAATTGGTAATGGTTGATGCTGGTTTTCCATGGAGCTGGCCTTTCATTATGATGTATAATTTAGAAACACGTTGTGTAGAGGTAAATTCTTTGAGTTAATGCAGTGTTCTTAAAAATCATTCAATCACCTAGGTATTTTCTGTTCTTTCATAAAGATAATTTATGGACACTCTGTAATTTATAGTTTGTTTCTTATAGACTGTTGGGGTAGCTCAGTCAGTATAGTGACTGGATGACCGGGGTTCAATTCCCAATAGGGATTTTTCCTCGAGACTCTGCATCCAGACTGGCTCTGGAGCCCACACAGCCTCCTGTCCAATGGGTACCGAGGTCCTTTCCTGGGGATAAAGCATGGCTGAAGCATGACACTGACCATTCACCCCCTTCTAGTGCTGGGGTTAAGAATGAGTAGGAGGCATACCCTCTTCTCTCTCTCTCTCTCTCCCCCCCCCCCCAAGTGCCCACATGTGTATAGCAGGACAGCTTTACTTTTACTTACTTATAGACTGGAAATGTAGTTTGGATATGTGAAACAAAAAGTGCGTAGGTAGTATTGGTGGGTTACCCTTTTGGAGAACAGCCACTTGGAAGATGGAGAAGGAAATTGGAAGTTAATGTTACAGAAACTGGCTGTGATTGTTGGAGTAGCTCATGATCATGTCAGATAGTGTGCATGGTTTTATTATGAGAGTGATAGTTTCATGTTGTCATTACAGAACTTTGCGTCTGTTAGGATGCATGGTTTTTGAGGATCTGTCACATGCTGCCATCTGATTATTTGATAAAGCTAATCTCATATTTTATAATTTTAAAGTAAATAAAACAAAGTAATTCTGGAGGAGTACTTGGTGCAGCCTATATGGCATAAAATGAACATAAAAAATGTTACTTCTAAAATTTTTACCCATTTGGAATTGTGATGGATTAGATGTGTTATGGACTGAGTTTTACTTTGTGTCTTGAAATTTTAAATGTGTGAAAGATAAGTCTCTTTGCAAAGCCTGGAAGATGACAGTAAAACTTAAAAATCCAAAGGTATATCACAGATGCTTTACTTTTGTAGGTCTGAAACAGAAATATACCCAAAGTAATGGACGAAGACCATTTGGTATTTCGTGCCTTTTGGCTGGGTTTGATTATGATGGAGTCCCTCATTTATATCAGACAGAACCATCAGGAATTTACTATGAGTGGAAGGTATGTGTTCCTATAGTGTCTGCTTAAAAGTTCAGC